TAACTATTAGTGCACTATAGGTAGTTACATGGTAACAATATTATCCACATAAAAAAAATACTCCAAAAAATAAAATGATACAATACTAAAAGTCAACAAAAAAGTAACTCCTGGATTTAGTTCTGGTATTATGAACTCACAGTCATAATATAAGTCATTAGTGTACTATAAAAGGCAATAATATACACAATAATTTAATAATGTATATTATATTGTTTATGTATCTCAATTTAATCATCATAATATGATTTATACCAAGTTATGTAATTTTTTAAATATTTGTTGGAAAGGTTCATAGGTAATTTTTTTTGAAGAATGTTTTGATAGTTTACGTATTAAGTTGTATGCAGTACTACATTGTCGTATTTAAATATATTTTACACAAGCGAAGCTATAATAAAATAAATCGTATATTTGAAATTTGTGAATAGAAAGCTCCTTCTCGGATGTTAAAGTAAAACAGTGCATAGGTATAGTTATAAATTATAATACATAATATTAATCTTGTCTTAGGCCAACGCAGGCCAATATAAACATAATAAGTAATATCGTCTAATGTAGGTACTACTAGGTAGGTACCTATAAAATACGTATGCAACTATGGATACTAAATTGTTCGAAATTAATTTACGACATGAAAATTACGCTTATTACCGTAAAATTACAGTATTTAATATTAATACTATAGATAATGTAATTAATTTTATTTTTTCATTGCTTTTCTTAATACTTACATATTTTTTTAGCCTTTCCCAATTAAATTTCCCTACATGCCTATTTCTATAAACTTCTAAATTAGATTTCACCCAGGATCTAACAGTCATCAACACAACTAGGTAGTAGGTATACTACAGTAAATTAGTATACTGCCATAATGGCCACACATTTGATTCATGTGACAATGATTACCTACCGACATTCTTTGGGAAACACAAAAGTCACATATATTATAATTATGCAAATATGACAGCTCTATGATTCCGCTGTAATATTTTATTTTCATATGTACATAGGTACATTATTTGTTAACGACGAGTTATAAAATCAGCAAAAAAATAATATTTTAACTATAATAATGTGATAAGAGGTCTCCTTAGTCTCTAAAAACGGCAAGGGATAAATAATAATAATATTGATTTTGAAGATTCGACTGCAGCAGGTACGTATTTACCAGATGTAAATATTTTTTCTTCTAATATTACATTATGTCAAAAAAAAAACTTTAGTCGCGATTTAGATTTGTCGAATAAAACTAGTAAAATGATGCATACATGGTTTAACGATGTTTTTATCCGTATGCTACAGTGTTATCACTTATCTGTGCTACAAAGAATGACTTTTTATATAATATTTTGCTTCCGTTTTGGAAATATTTTCTAGATCAAAAGTATCCGTTAACAGATTTCACGCTAAACCATGGTTAAAATCATTTTGTAGGTAACTACTTTGATTTGTGTTCAAAACAGAATATTTCCATACGAGTAAACAGGAAGTTGCATGCCCCCTTTTTTACACTTTTGGTATGGAAAATGAAAACTAACTTATGAAATGTATACGTCTTGAATATTTTCGTAATCGAAAGAAAAACGCAAACGTACATCTAAGATAAATAAAATATGATATTCGATACCTAGTAAACTTCATGATGTATCTAAAGTATATTTTCTTTTAACTTATAACTCACAATTGTATCATGCATGTGCTACTTTTGAATACACTCCGTCTATTTTCTTACTTATTCTTCTTACACAATTGTAGTTGTATACTCGAGTGAATACAAATTTGTTGAAACTTTTGAAAGTTTAGAATATGTTACCCGTGTATTTTTCTCGATAGGTTTGTTTTAACATTTTTAAATATTATTCAAGTATTTTGAAATAATATGTTCTGGAAGATAGAAAGAAATCGAACATAGTATAGGTATCTTATTAAATTTCTTTACCATTTTCAATATTAAAAAAATATATCAAATGAATGAATTTAGTGATTGAATAAAAATTACAAATAATTTGTTTAAGTTTTTCCCTACGGTCAGCAATATAATTGTTTTAATGTCCTACAGCATTGTTATCAACGACTATAGCCTATAGGCATGTTAAATGTTTTGAAAAGGAGTTTATACATTTCCCATGCATAAAGTGTTCGTTGGTGTAAGGATAATTGAATTTGGCGAATTACCACTGATATAAGAAACAGCTAAAGCATCTCGACTGCAAAATCTTGAGAATAAACGTTGGAAATGTTTGATAAAACCCATTACAATGTTACATCGTTATGTTTTGATCTTTGGATACGTTTCTCTGTTTTAATTTTTAGGCTTTTTTTTTTGGCTGTGATTATTTCTTATAATTTAATGGGTTGTTCACCTTATTTCGTTGGCCCGGGTTATGGTCGCCGACCCTATTATAAACTTTGAACGACTATTGTTTGAGAATGGCCAAGCGGAAAAGGTTAACGAGCCCTTGAAAACTCTTGAAACTTTACCCCTTCTAAAAGATGCCAGTGTTATAACTAAGGGTCTCCGAATGCAAATTAAAAGTGAGGGACAAAAAAAAATATATATAATACAAACAAAATATAAAATAAAGTTATAGGGTCGAGTGACTTGGACTCCTATTATTGTGACTTATTTAATTGATTTTCTTTGCGTCTCTGTATTTTCCAATCGCGCTATTGATGTTTACTTTCTTTATATTAAAAATCGTATAACAAAAATAATTTTCACAGTTAACTTACTGTGCACAGATATGGGTAATGCGTTTTGGTACCTATTGTTTAATCGTTTGCAGGTTCCAAGTAAACATATATATGTAGTAGGTACTTTTTTTTCATAGGCGTAAACTCAACTTAACTGGTATTCATTTAGAAAAGTAAATCTTTGGCGAGTTTATTTTTCATTTCCTTGCCAATGCACAACAGTTTATTAATACTATATTGGTTGATGGGATAATAATAATATAAAATGCACGGCAGAGCGAATTTAAAACTTTAGTAATGAAACATAAGACAATAGAAGTCTACATTGATTTGTTCAATAGCAAATTCAATTATATTCTTTCTGCAGGGAACCCCTTAAATATCTAATGTTTATGTTTCATGTGACCATAACTGAGGTATTTAAAAATATTTTTTCCAAACTTTGATTGATAAAATAAATCTATTGTTGTTTAACACTCATAGCTTTGGTATAATTTATAAAAAAAACAACTTTTCTTGACTACATTTTTTGTGTTTTTAGAATATCTAAACTTGAATATTATATTTTAACATTCAGTAAAAATATTTGATTTAATTATTGGGGTGGAAAACATTATGCTTAATAATATAATGGACTGTAAAGGGACCATACAATAGTACCTAGGTGCTTCAGTAATTAATAAGATTTTTTGAATTTTGATCGCTTTAAATAAATTGCGAAAAAATACCATATAATATAATTATCAATATATTTTTATTAATATATTTTTACGGATTGTATTAAAAACCGTATCAACTATCAATACGAATCAGTTATCCAATTGATAGTTTATTTTATATAAATTATGTTTGATGTTTTTGTTTTTTTTTTTTCATGTTGGAATGGAATAGGTAGGTAACGTAGTTAGCGTGTTCCCCGTTGGCCTGTTATAAACGTAAAATCATTTATTTGTATCAGTTATTATTTTATTTTTAGTCGTCCAATATAAAATATATTCGTTTTTGTTTCAGAAAGAAAATATCATTACACTTAACAAATAGTCAAAATTATAGCTTTGGAAGTAAATAACTGCTTGTAAAAGTTTTGGAAATATTTTCTTTGAAGTATTCGATAGTAGGTATAGGGCGAAAATATATATGTAGGTACCTACTGCTATGACAAATAAGGACTTTTTTTGAACTATGTTGAATTTTTATTTTTATTTTTTTTTTGGTGTTCGGTTTACGAGACGTTTATAGTTTAGAGTTTTAGGCCCGTATGCATAGTCAATTTATGTTTCACATAAGACAATATGTTAAACTATGTGTTATGTGCCACATAAATTGACTATGCGTAAGGACATTTTACTATTAAAGATAGGGGATGTAAGCTGGTGTGTATCGCGTAATTTAATGTCCACAAATATAGTTTTTCAATACAATGGTTTATCGGTATTATTCGAGTCATTTGAAACAGCGTTCGTGTTTCCAAGTCTTAATCATTATCTATAAGTATTCTGGTATGCATACAAATAATGTCAAGCTAGAAAAATACTGTTTTCGATTTTAAAATCTCGGGATATGCGCATAACATTTATATAATATTATAGACTCTGTCGATCATAATATATAATATACATAACTATTGTAAACTATGTAAAATCCATTCCTATGGAGTTCCTTGTCCAGTGGTGGTGGTGGACCCATCGGCAAACCTACAAAAAGATTACAAAATCAACAGGTTTTTCTTTTTTGTCGGTAGGTATAAGCATTAATTCGGTTTGCCTAGAAAACAAAATAATTTTCGTTTATTTCCCGTGTATGGCTCTATAATAATATATAATTAAACACTGGCCATGTATGAATGTAGAATTGTATATCTGGCATCTAATTAAAATAATCTAAATTGTTTAATAGTGTATTATTAGTCTTTGATATAATGTATGATGTCTGCTGTAGGTGGTCCGCGTCGGAAGTCTCTGGAAATGACTAGGTATACGGGAAACAATAAAAGTGGCCGAAAACAAGTTGGTGGGGGACTTATTTTTCATTTAAGCGGCCCCTACACGTTCAATAATATTGAGTCAATAAAATTGAGTCAATATTTTGTTCAATATTATTTTCACCCAAACCTCTCAATATTATTGCACAATATTCAGTTGAATTCGTTGGCCAGGTCAGGTGTAGTACCGCTGTGTATGACCGTGTTGTTGTGTTTTGTTGTTTTGTTGTGTTGTTTACGTTGTTTACGCTGTGTCAGTTGAAAGGCAGCATTTACCATCTGCTATAAATTATATTATAACTATATTATTATAGTTTTAAATATGTATCTTAACGATACCGAATTAATTTGCATCGCAGTAGCATTTGGATTGAACCAAAAAAAACCCAAACAAAATAAAAGAACACGTTGGATGAAAGAGTGGTATAAACAGAGAGCACAATATAGTCATGAAAAATTATTGAACTGTCTACGAATGACTGAACCAGATGACTATAGGAATTTTTTACGAATGGATGCTACATCTTATGAGAATTTATTGAAAGTACGTGGAATTACCAAAATTGTATAAGTATAATTTACTTAACTGTAAAATAATTGTATTTAGTGTTTGAAGTATGAAATATTTCATGTGAAATATATTTTCATTTTTATTAGTTATTTTGGTACAAAAACGTGAAACAATTTTTTTTTAACACAATATTCAGTGTTTTAAATTCTAATGTCAGAATTCAGTAGGTATACAATATACATGTTTAATATACCTACTTGTATCATTTAAACATTAAAATATTTAAAAATTTTGAATACCATTTTAAATGTATAATACCAAAGGTTAGGTATACATACAGGTACTATACAGTTATGAAGGTAATTTATGACACTTATATGTAAATATAAAACTTATTTAAAAATGAAACAAAATATATTAAAACACTGAATTATTTCATACATTTTGAAATATTTCTATTTTTTTAAATTTCATGAAATTTTCAAACACTAATTGTATTATACATTATAGCTTGTAACTCCACATATCCAAAAACAGAATACGATAATGAGGGAAGCTATTTCTGTCAATGAGAGACTATCTATAACATTACGGTACCTTGCCACTGGTAATACGTTTGAAGACCTGAAATTTTTGACTGCAATTTCACCACAGTCCATCAGTAGTATTGTACTAGAAACTTGTCAAGCTATTATTACTAGTTTGAAAACATATATTAAGGTAAGAAAACATACATTTATTTTAAATTATTAAACTTTATTTAACAAACTTTAAATGTATGTTATTGAAATGTTTGAAAAAAATCTGAAGCTGAGCAGGTTTTATTCTCAATTGTAGAATAAGTGTTTGGAATATCAATAGTCAATGTCTGATAAGTATTGGTACATGGCATGTCATTTGTTTCAATAGATGGGGGGCCACTATTTGTTGAAGAATGAAGACTGTAGGGTGTTGAAGTATTACTATAGAACGGGGTTGATGATCTAGTTGAAGCTGGTACTATTTGAATAGCATTTCGATGTAATGTACCCATTTGACCTTCAAATAAAATGTCGTTGATAGCCTTTTTTGCAAACATTTGTTGTTGGGCATTCATTTTTTGAAGTTCCGATGCCCAAGCAATAGCTATTTTCATTTCGTCACTATCTTCCGTCTGACGTAAACGCTTACAAGCTAATCCTACAAGTTCTTCCTGTGGCGACTGATGCTTTTGATGTTTTCTTTTTACTTTTGGAATTGTAAACAATTCATCAGTTTCCTAAATAAAAAAATAATTAATACCTTTTTTGTTTAAAGATTCCAAAAACGGAAGCAGAATGGGTGCACATAGCAAAAGACTTCGAACAAAAATGGAATTTTCCACATTGCGTGGGAGCACTGGACGGAAAACATGTTGAAATAAGAAAACCTCCAAACAGCGGATCATTTTATTTTAATTATAAAAATACGTTTAGTATAGTGCTAATGGCTGTAGTTGATGCAGATTACAAATTTATGATGGTTGATGTTGGCATAAACGGTCGCATATCAGATGGGGGTGTTATTAGTTATACTAAATTTGGAAATATGTTAAATAATAAAACATTAAATATTCCGAAACCAGATTTATTGCCTAATACAAGTTATACACTCCCGTATTTGTTTGTAGCAGATGATGCATTTGCTATGAGCGAAAATTTACTTAAGCCTTATAGTCAAACCAATTTGACCAAAGAACAGAGAATTTTTAATTATCGTCTAAGTCGGGCAAGACGAATTGTTGAAAACGCTTTTGGAATTTTGAATTCGCGTTTTGGTGTGTTCCAAAGACCAATACAAGTAGATACTGATAAAGCTAAAAAAATTGTGTTAGCTTGTTGTTTTCTACATAATTATTTAAGAAAGTCAGTATCATATATTTGCCAAGGTTCAATGGACATGGAGTATGAAGAAGAAGGGAGAATTATCGAGGGGTCTTGGAGAACTCAGGTGCCATTAATTAATTTACAACATGGAAATAACAGAAATTCTACAGAGTTAGCTAAAGATATAAGAAATACTTATTGTCAATACTTTAATAACGAAGGAAAAATACCATGGCAAGACAAATTTATTGTATGAATAAATTTATGTGTATTGATAAAAAATGTAAATAATGATAATATAATAATAAAATACTTACATAAACTGTGCTATGATTGATTTCTTCGTCATTTTCAATATCACTATCCATTGTACTTATTGAGTCACTCGGTGTCTCTTGGTCTTGTAAAAATAACATTTCATTATAATACCATAAACATGGTTCATATATGTCTTCCGATCCAGCACCAGATTTTTTTGAGCTTTTAACCTAGTAAATTAAATATAACAATATGAAATGATTATAATAAATAAGTACTTTATATATACACAAATATAAATAGATACTATAAGTCTATAATAAAATATAATAATATAGTTATGTATAGTGTATACATATTGTGTGTACTAACCTTTTTGAATTCTTTACGCCAATTTGTTCTTAATGCATTCATTTTTTTCTTAACATCTTCCTTAGTGGCTTGTGGATATTTTTCTTTATATTTCGTTACTAACGTTTCATAGGAATCATTTTTTTTGTTACGATTGGAATAATCCTTACTTTTGACATTCCAAAGTGCCGGCAGATCTCGATACAAATTAATACATTCGATTATAAACGAACGCTCTTCCATTTTAGTTGACATAATTCTTATTATGTCTTTAAGAATTATGTCAAGTAATATTTTCTGTCTTATTATAGTTATCTTATTATTATTATAGAAAAATGATATAGTGTATCAATAGAATGAAAAATATAAACCTGTAGCAACACGACACAACACGTGTGGCTTCACAACCGATATGATATGATACTAAATATTGCGCAATTTTGCACAATATCATATTCAAACGTTCAATAATATTGTGTATTGTACAAAAAATTTCCAACCCAGTTTGATTTCTTCAATATATTGTACAATCCTTCAATATCTATACTAGACTGTCAATAATATTGCGCAATATCGATTATTGTGCAATATTATTGATCGTGTAGGGACCGCTTTAGATATTATGCATTATTAATAAGTAATAATAAAATAAAGTGGTTGCAAGCTTGAAAAATATTATAATTTATACTGTAAAGTATATGCATTAGATTACATTAAGTAAACGTTAAATTATTTTACTAAGTATGTAGGTATATGTAGGTATATAGGTAATAAGCGTTAACGAAAAAAAAGGTAGAACGATGTCACATATTATTCTTATAATATGTAGTTAGTTGCAATTTTTATTTGATGGTTTATCGTATAATATGCAATAGCATTGATATAAATAATAGTATTTATAATAAATGGTAATTGTTAAAACTAATATTAGGTACAGATAATGAGTCCAATTATGTGTATGATATTATATTATATTATATTATATTATATTATGTCGTGCTCGTACAATGTCTTGTATTCATTATAACTCATAAATTATGACTATACCTAAGCCTTAAAGGCATTCGTGTGGTGACTGAAATTTGTTATGTCCATTATTATCAATGAACATTTGTAGAGCAGGTATAGGAACGTACCTACATATTATTATAATCTGTTCGTTATTAATTTATTTTACATTGGTGACATTTCAATAGTGATTTGTAATTAAATTTGTATTTAATTTCTATTTAAAGGATAACAATATGGGTACTAATTATAACATAAGTAAATGTAATTCAATTTTTTTATAAACGATCCACTTGAAACAATCATTAGTTATTAATATATTTTAATACCACAATACAATTTTAAATTAATAAAACCATGTTTGTTATTTATTTTATTTTTTTAGAAAATTGATTAGTTTCTTGGTTGATTTTTAATGCTATTCTAATAAAAAGTGTATGCATCAAATAACAAGTAGGTGAGGTGAGATCAATTCTAATATTTGATATTTTATTAAATTTGAGATGAATATTTTTATACAACTACTCAAATAAAAAAACTCTATTAACAATACTTACAGACTTCAATATTAATTCAAATTAATGTAATAGTTTTTATAAATGTTTAAATATAGTATGTCCAATGCAAATATAATATCTACCTTGGTACCTACCTAATATTTGTTTTTATAATTGCAAAAAAGTTGATAGTAGAGATGAGAAACTGATGGTAGATGTTAAACAAAATATATTAATAGCAAATACAGTTGTATTCACATTCATATTTTTGGTTGAATCTGTTAATTGAAATAAATAGCTAGGTGTAGTTCATATTATGAGCTATCATACAGTATGTTGTATGTACAATATAAGACATAATATCACACGGAAACATTTTATTAACAAATGCATAGATTCAAATTACAAAATGTAGGTATTAGTGTATATAACCTCTTTGTTTACTTTAATCCTCGACAAAAAAATGTTTACATACATAAATACATTCTTGGAGGTGGACATAAAGTTAATTTCATGCGAAAATATAATAATAATAAATAATGTATTAGAATTTCCATCTAATTTAAAATTGAAATATTATTTGTTTATTTTATTATTTCCTATATATTATAGACGTGCACAAAAATATTTTTTCTGATGATTGCTTATTACTTATTCAAGTTATTTGTCTTTTATTTTGTATCCATCATCATCTTTTGGGAAATTAAAAATGTTTCGATTTTCTTCAACATCATCTTTTCTTTTAGAAATCATAGTTGGTGCTTTGGGGATCAAGCTGCAGTGTCGGCCTGGCCATAGCCGCTGGGCCGCGAACGCGGCCGGGGCCTCTCTGATTTTTTTAGGGTCTCGTACAAGTTTAATACAATTCATTATTCATTTACGCACTTGTAATCTACTGTACAGCAGAGCGACATCCACTTAGCAGCTTTTTTTTTATTTGTTTGGCGTGTGCCTGGTCTATATAAGGAGTTAGGACCCCGTAAAATATTTATTGAAATATTTAACCGCGTACGCAATTTTTCTTTACAGGGCCCAGATGCTTGCCTATTATTATAGTGTGAGCATTGCACTATAAATTATAATAGTAGGTACAAGTTTCAAG